TCAAGAGATCAATTTTACTGTCATTTACAGAGCGTGTGATGAACAGGTCAAGCGTTTACTTAATGGTATAATTCGAAGAAAAGTATAGTTATAGATTGAATAGCTACATTCACATAAGATTTGTCAGATGCGTGATCATTCAGCCTGAGGATGCTGGAAAAAAGGCAACTCTTCGCAAATGTTTATTTTCTTTTATCATAACAATGAAGAGCAAAACATTAAAAGCATCCGCCTACAACTACTGACCACCTGTTCAATTCCTATGCAGCAAGTTATAAGTAATTTAGTTATACAATGCCACCTAATTTTCCGCATATAAATTTGGTTATAATAAAGTACAGGTTAGTAAACATGTGAATAACCACGAAGATGATTGTGAAATATATATAAAATAAATTGTTTCGTTCCACAATGCACCAACGTATCACAGATGTAGTGATTATGAATCTTGATAAATATAACAGTTGCATTATTAGAAAGCGTTCTTTATCTAAAAAATCTTTGACTGACTTCTTATTGATTAAATGCTTAAACAGGTAACTTTCACTAACACCATCTATGTACTGATCAATAGAGTTGAATGCATACAAAGAGGAATGAAATATTACTAGACCATATATAGACACTGAATTCAGTGAATTACACTGATGAATCACCCATAACAGATTAAAATTTCACCAACAACGGTCAAACCAATAAAAAGTAAAACTATTGGTGGTTGATGCCTATAATTCATCCATAAACAGATCGTAAATTTGCTTGCAATAATATTCAGTTTATCTGCTGTTCTTCTTTACCAATGAAAATGGTTTCCACGATTATCTATACTATCAGCTACGTGAAGCAAGGCCATAGAACGTATCAGAAAATAATTATGATATTAAAGGTAGGAATTCATCATAAACTGACATCAGTTGGAGAACATTGGAAACCTTGGAGCACTGGACAACTGCCTCCTTCTAGTATGGGACTGATCAGCAGTGCGCACCAATGACCCTGCTCCACCAGCGGTCGAACCCAGGACCTTCAGGTTCCGTGACCAGTACGTTACCACTGAGCCACTGGATAGGGATCCAATCATGCACATTTCCTACATCTGCCAGTTCACGATATACATGTTGTTGTTTTTGAGTAACTATCTTTATATTTTTTTTGGTTGACTCCACTGGTCACGACATCTCATTGGAACTTCGGTAATCACCTCTCGAGCTCTAGATTAATCCTATCTGCAGGTTGTGGAGGTTTAATAATAAATTTTAGGTTAGTATTCATTATGGGCTGACATTACTTGAAGAAACACTGGGAATCTGGAAGCGCTGGGCAGCTGTCTCGTCCTAGTATGGGACTCCTCAGCAGTGCGCACCCATGACCTCACAAGGGATCGAACTCATGACCCATGGAGTTAGCCAAGAATAGTTACTCGAGGACATTGTATGGAGGCCACGCCTTAACATGAACTGCCAGGAATAAGAAATATAGACCGCAGAATTCCTACCGAGTGACTGCGGAACCCGAAGGTACTGGGTTCGATTGCTGATGCAGCAGGGTCATGGGTGCTTACTGCTGAGAAGTTCCATAGTAGAACGAAGCACTCCCAGGTTTCCAATTTTCCTCTAATTGACGTCAGTTCATGATGAATTCCAACATAAAATCAGCTAATAAACCTCCATTAACCTTCAGATAGAATTATGGTATTGATCAGTATAATTACCCTTTGGCTTAGATACTGAGGATATAACTTGTTTGAATAATGTCAGTGTCTTGCCTCATAATATTGTTCGCCGTCTAAATAAAGATACCAGCTATATTCACTGTGTAGTCTTAGATTATTTGTCTGCCACTCACTTTTTTCCTAGACCACTGTATTTAAACAAGCTTGTCCCTGTACATTCCTAGCACTTAATCACAAAGTGACTGCATTTCTATTTTTTCTGTCAGAAAAAGTATGCTGTTTATAAACAGAAGCTCTTCTTTCTATTATTTGTGCTGATGATCTGACAGTCTCTGCGCCAGTTCATTCACACTTATTTTGTTCTCATATGAATACTTTCCTATCTGAAATTGGTCTGTTGTCTTCTTCAAGCTAAACCCGTCTAAATATCAGATAGTTAATTTCAGCCTAAGAAGAAGGCAAGATTTGCGTGGGCTGCTTTGAATCTATAACTCCTGTAGTATTGACGGCATTACAATAGAAAGCGAATTAAGTGTTCTCTATCTTGAACTGAGTTTTTGCTGATCTTTGTCAGTCTTGTCATGTCATGTTGATCCTAAGAAAATCTTCTATGTGACGTGATATTTTGGGAGGCTGAGATTCCTTAACATAACTTAACCTCATTGTCGTTCCTCACTAACCTTCCTCGGTCTAGTTAAAATAGACCATGCTAAATAGTATCAGGCTTTGAAAGCTGTCAGTATGGTTGTTTGTATTCCTGTGGCTCAATTGGTAAACGCTTTAGTTGAAAAACATTCGAATCCCAGCAGGCAACTAGCTACAGTTATTCATCGGACAATGAGCGTCCTCTTTAATCATAGCTTCCTCTCTGCCTTTCCTCACTGAGGAAAACAAATGGATATATAAGGCTCTATGCTCTAATGGCTATATGTAAGGAAGAGCTTGACTGTGCCTTGCCCAGCACGCATCCTATGTGAGGAAAATCGTGTCAAAACATGACTCACTTGTCATTTTTATAACAATAAGTGATCATTCTTTCCAATATTTTAAACATTTACCTATTGCCGTCTTCATTACTAATATGAATTATATGATGTAAGTCACGAATGTTGAAAGAGAGTCAGTTTTGGTTGCAATATTAAATGCTAAAATTCCAGAGTTGCACCAGAAATACTGTCTAGAATAAAGCTATAGTTATTTTCATTATTCCGTGACCAGATTTCGTAAGTGATCTGTAGCTTGACCGTCTTCATCTTGCACCTGATTTCAGATCCTTTGACCGTGAAAATCATAAAAAGGTTCTACGGACTCTCAAGTTGTATGTTGGTATGTTAAAGGGAAATCTTAGAAAAGTGATTGGCAAGACCATAAGTGGGAGGGGATATTCCTTTTGCAGCCATGAACTAATGTAGTATAGCCATTTTGTCAAAGCATAGAATGATATCAAATACCATATTGAATTTCCGTGTCCTCACCTTTCACAGCGAAATTTATTCACTCTCTGAAAATACTTATCACGGGTCAGTATCAAGTACAGAACTAGTGCGAATCTATGAAGAAATCTTAGGCTGAGTTTCTTCAGTGATGTGAACCAAAAAACCTGTGCAAAATGCAAATCGGTACTGTTATCGTCTTCAGCTAGCATGTTATCATTCACCCATCGAGTTTAACCCAGTAGTTAGTATACTCAACTTTTTTCGTAGTGAAGTACCAATGTCATCGGATGCCATCAAGAGTAACAGTATCCACATCCAGCTGGATCCATGCTGTTAGCGTTACAGCTTCTTGTACACATGTTGCAGCTTTCGGAAGAGTTTCATTTTGATGCAGCTTTCAATGCTGAACTTGAATGGTGAATTCGACTGGACTTTTTTCCTTATTCACTATCTAATGAAAGGAAGCATTGAAAACTAACTTTTCTTCTCTACATGTCATGAGCTCTGTAAAACCATGCCTATCACTGAACCCTATTGGTTATTGCTACTAACTTTGATAGAGCGCGTTTTCTCGAAAGTGATGACCTAAAAATGCCAGTTACTGAATCCCTGCCTTGCAGAAGACTAAGTGGTTTGACAAATAAGTTATATTTAATGAGTACAATAACTCTGGTAATATCCGGGAATAAACGTTGAGGCGGATGAATTGTGATCGGTTTTAAGCGGTTCTGTTCAAACTACAATTGAGCAGTTGACAAACTACTAAGATGTTCAGAATCACAGCTTGAAGCATGCAGTCTGAAAACAGCTGGAAAACTGACCATCAAGTTGGCGGTACATTATATCACATTTAGATGAACCAGTTAGATGAATTTGATTTGAGCAAATTGACTCTTTTGACAACTGAATTTATAAACAAATTATCAGAAATAATTCAAGGTATTGAATCACTGGATGGAATCCAGTGATTCAATAGTAAGTTGTACGGCATGAAACCTGAAAGTCATAGGTTATATTCCTGGCATGGTATTTGGCGCTCCTTACCTTGAAGTTACATACCAAAACTAAATAGCCGTCAACTACTCCCGTGATTTACTGCTTACCACGAATAGTGTGAGTCGTGATGCATGCCACCTTAAAATGTAAATAAACAGTCCTTGTTTACATAAAAACTCTCATTAGAGTCAAAAACACATTTCTGGATTTTACTTTTAGTGTCATTTGTGATCCATATTCAGTTATCTATTACGATCACTGAATTGTATAAGCTAGGCTGGAAATAAACGATTCTGTTTACTTATGTGTATGTTAGATTAGTTACTCAAGACAACCACACAGTAATAACATTCGTCGGTCTTTATCGCTGACCGGTAAGTTTTGAAAGATGAACCAATGAATTTCTATTCACTAGTTAGATGTTAGCATGCTAGCTGTGAGACTTGACTGTTCTGGACTTCATTCAACAACAGGTCCTATGTTTCCACTATTGAGGATCCATAAACTGGGATGAAAGGGCTGTCCGGTTTGCAGTAGTACTCCAGATGAACTCGACTCTGTCGGAGTAGTTAGAAATAAAGCTTAGATGCAGTCATATACTATTCGGATCTTGTAGTACCCTAACTTAATTTATTTACAGAAAGATATCTTCGTCAATTCAGTAGTTGGAATAAGATTATGTCTGTTAAGATGACATCAAAAAAATTCATCAGTTACTTAGAGCAAACATTCAAATTAGCTCAATCATTAAAACTTTAGGTATGATTATCAGATAACCAATATGATAATGCTAGGATACCATGAAGTTTGTCATCAGAAGAGGTCACAAATGTCAACTGAACAATTATTATTATGTAACTATATTAAATTTTAATTAAAAATTAATCTCAACTTGCCTTCGCAACAATTAATCCTTCCATAAAATCTTCACATAATCGAAATCCCCATGGTGGTCCATTTCGTAAAACAAGCCTTTTTTCAACATATGTCATAATTTATTGATTAATTTGATTTAATTAATCTTGTTTTACGTTTATTTAATATTTTATTAAGTATATTGTCTATTTGAAACAGAATAACAAGTAAATCAACTTATTGTCTGTTAAAATCAAATTCGAAATGTTTTACTGTTTTGAAAATATGAAATTAAGAAAGTTAGTTTAATATTATCATTATTGTAAGGAGCCATTGAAATTTTATATCTTTCTTAAAATAAAAATCTTCGAAATAAGAGAGAATGAATGATTTTGAAAATTCTCCATCTACATTATATTTCTTCAAATGAAACAAAATGTCATCTATGTTCACTAGTGAATTGATCTTCGTATATATTTTTTTATGCATGAAAATTTGCTTTAAGTTTTGTTCAAAATAGATGAAATCTTATTGATTGTTATATCAAAATCTAATACATATAGGTAACACATATTGCACACATGTAGAAGTAAGTGGATATGCATGTGTGCATAGGATAAAGCTAAATATAAAATAGGAAAAGTGGTCTGAAGGCAAATGGAATGCACCAATCATCATTCTGTTTTAAAACAATCATTTATGTGATATGAAGCACAATAAGCTAGTATAAACATTAGTTATAGCCTTTGCTTGAACCAATCCTGTTACACTCGAAAATAAAGGGAAGTCATGTGATGAAATATCACTACTTCCTAACCGAGAAATCGATTTAAAAGTTAAGAGGAGAAAATACACGTTATATTTTTTTCAACTCGTAATTTTACAGTGGTTTTCTTTCAGTATCATCCATAATGTTATAATTATTATTAATTTTTCCCTTAGGTTCCTAGTGGAACATACGACTTCAGTAGCACGCTTCCATTTCATTCTCTTCTCTTCAGTCTTTTCAACCTGGTCCCACCACTGCCTACAAGCTTCCATTTCTTACTCACGCCATCTCCTTCATGTCACCGTTGCCTTGGACGCCCAACTGGTCGTTTCCCATGCGGGCTCCACTTGACGGCCTGGCATGGCGCGTGATGTCCGCAGTCAGCCTTCTCAGTGTATGCCGAGCCCAATCCATCTCCACTTTCTTCTTCTGCATATTTGTTGGGTGATGAGTCCTTGGTTGGTTCGTTGACAGCCAGCCAGAGTTCCTTGTTGTTTATTCTTTCTGGCCATCTCATCATCAGTAAAGCGTGAGCGTAGGAGGCAGCTGTTGATGAATGTCTATAGTTTGTTGGAAATGCTTTTCGTCACGCACCGAGTTTCTTAACCATCACACAGAAGCCCTAACTTGACATTGGTATTGAAAATCCAGATGTTGTTCACGCTTTTAGCTGAGTGCAATAGATCTCCACACTGATTTCAAGTTTATGAAGGCTTGTCTTGCTTTTCTGATGCTGACTTTAACATCCACATCTGCGCCCTCCTCCCTGTAGTTGAAACGATGCTGCATAGGTGGGTAGGTGAAACAGACTAATTCCTTTAGGTTTCTCTCGTTCATGGTGACTGGTGCTTGTTGTTGGTTGTGTATCTTCACACCTCTGTCTTCTCTACATCCACTTGAAATCCTGTCTTCGTTGCCCAGCCTCTTCTGTCAACTTGTTAGTTTTCGTCTGTTGATCTTCTAGTCTCTGTGACAAGAGATTAGAGATAAATCATTATTGTGGAAATCCAAATATTCTAGGCTTTTTTCATCGATCCAGCTAGTGTATGGCCGTATTCTCGCTCCTCACAGATTTTTGCATAGTCCAGTCGAGCCGAACACAATGAGGAAGATCATCAGAGATAGCAAGCGGTAGCCTTGTCTTACTTCTGTCTTCACTTCAAAGGCATCACTGAGCTTTCCGCTATGAATCACTTGGCATGTAGCGTCGTCATGTAGCATATAGCTCTTGATTGAGGTTGATAAGTGTTTGTGGTACTCCGTATTGTTGAGGCAGTTGCCCGCCAAATAACTTCTCGATTGACCTTATCGAAGGACTTTCCAAAATCGATGGAGTTGAGGTAAAGATCCAGTTGACTCTCATTCCATGCTCTGTTCTATGATGATGCGTAGCGCAGCGCTGCAATTTGATCCGCACATGATTTGTTTTTCCTGAAGCCAGCCAGCCTGTTTCGACTGTGATTCCGAATCCAGAACAACTTTTGATCCCTCCAGGATTGTGTGGCCTAATAATTTGCTTGGGGTGGACAGGGATACAGCATGATTCCTCTCCAGTTCTTGCAAAAACATGGGCAGACTTCCTTGGGAATTCTACAAGGTAGCCCTTCATCCAATTGAAAGGTACCTTTCCTTCCTTTCAAACCTTCTGCAATGGTGTTGTGTGTGTCCGCTGTTGTTTCTGCGTCTGTTTTCAATGCTTCTAGAAGAACTCCATCTGGTCCTTCTGCTTTTCCGGATTCCAGTAACTTCATGACTTTCAGGACTTCACTTCTGCTTTTGTCGGAGTGATTGTGTTAACTGATAGTTCTGTGTCTGGTCTGCTGGTGGTATTTCTGGACGAGTTACAGTTGGTGGTGATGGTCGATTTGAGTTTTTGAAGTGATCAGCCCATCGTTTTCTTTGTTTCTCCTCTTTGGTAATTAAGTTCCCTTCGCTATCTTTCATTGGTTTCATTACGTTGACCTCTTTCCAGATAAGATAGATTAGATATCTCAGATATCTCAAGGCATCACTTGATGTTTCCTCATTATTTACGAATATAACAGCGGATGAAACGATAGACGTCATCTGTCAACAGTCTGATCTACTACTACTGATTAAAGGGGAACTCAAACAGTTACTGCTGCTCTTACAAAAGGTGTTCAGTCCCAGTTTAGTAATTAACTATACTGGCAAACTGATGGAGTGGCTTTGGGTTCATCACTAGGACCTATCCTACTTGATATTTTCACTGTTAATCTCGAGCGAACAAGTCTGAACTCTGTGATTACGAAAACGTCATATTACTGCAGATATTTCGATGATAATTTCATTGTTTGTATGATATGTATCATGCCCCAGAGTTGTTGCATACCTTTAATCACACTCATCTAAATATGAATTTTAAAATGGAATACGAAAATGGAAACAGATTCAGTTTTTGAGATCTAAGTATAAGACGGAGATATGGTGGTACAGTTGACAAAACTATCCACAAATAAGACACGTAGATTGGTCAGTATTTTCACTACAATAGTTTCCGTCCTGTCGCAACGCTATTCTCTAGAATAAAAAGGATATGTGCAAAAGATAAACAGGAAGAAGAGTTTAGTGTAATTGAGAAGGGTGCTAAAGAGAATAGATACCCGGAGAAATTCATCATAAAGAATTAATTGAGCAGCCAAAACATCCAGTTGTTGAGAAGGGGACTGTTTTCCTTCGCTAAACATTCAAAAGTGATGCGACATCTGAAAGAATAGATGGTAGAATAAAAACTGCACTCAGACGAAGCTTTCCTGCTCCCAGACTGATCTCAGTTTACAATAAAGAATTCTTAATAACACAGACGAAAGATAACAAATATTCATCTCACGTCACTGTCAACTATGTACTTCGATTCACCTGTGCTTGTGGAAGCAAAGGCATAGAATGGACAGAAAGCAGGGCGTCTACTCGATTTTATGAACATATTCCAAGAAATCTGTCTGAAAGGTAGAGAGGTCTTTTTCAACGCAATCGTCAGACACCTGATAAAAACAGGTCATCAAATAGATGTTTCTCGATTATTCAAGATGATCAACACACCAAGAACGCCATGTTTATTATGGTTTGCAGGAGCTGTCGCTATCAAACATTTTCTTTTGATTACAACATCTAATTAATAACCTACTGATTATTAACCACATAAAGATTTTTTGGTTTTTTATGCAGTTACGTAACCCACTAGTTCTTAAACAATCTGTTCTTTTACACTGATTTTCGTTTGTTGTCCCCCTCCACTCCTCAGCCTAAGAATTTCTGATCTCATTAGTTATAAATTACCCCTGATTTCGACTAATGTTTGTAATTATTATTCCTGTGCTTCCTTGACTCACTACCTTACTGTTAATCCTGGATTTCAAATCTTCATTCATTTAAAGTATATTATGCCATTATTACTACTAATACCTCATTTCAATCGTAGGCCGTTTGCAGCTGAGGGAAGGCCATGGAATAAATGAGTTCATTTTATTCTGCAAATGTTTTTGTTCTTGCATTGTTCAAATTTGTCAAGGAACCAAATTTATGTAGTAAAATTACTTACTTGAAAGAATTCAATATTGATAGAAGATGAAACAACCAAATAAAAGTAGAGAATTAAACATTGGAAGCTGATAAAGGATGATGTAATCAAAAACCGGTCAAGAATGGTTAGAAAGGCAGACAGAGGTTGACTATTGCTTCTTTTAGAACGCATAAATTAGGTTTTAAGGCGTTTGAGAGCTTTGGCCTCACCAAACATCAGGCATATTGAACTTGATTGTTCGTTCATTATCGTGAAAAAATTTAAAATATTTGCTTCATGTTCGGTATCAGTCAGATGTGAAGTAATTGTGCTGTTCAGAGTATCATTTTTCCCCAGTCATGTTCAGAATATCTAAGATGCTTCTGCCTTTTTGTTCTTCTAGTGTATCTACTTCGACAGCTGCATATAAACTAATATGCATGGCTGGAAGCAACATTGTATACGTGTATATTGACTTCTGACTGAACTAAACAGTATACTGTTTGGTACACAGGAATAATCCTGACTGAAGGGAAAGTTCTAGCCTGTGATGACTTCAGTTGTCTGTATATGGTTCCTGCACTATCATCCCCTATTAACATTGAAGTGAATGAATACAGGTGATCTTCTGTCTCCTTTTTCATATCTGTTGATATATCCATATACCTATCACTGTCTAGTAGGCATCTTTTGACTATTCGTATATCCCCCTCCGTTTTATCACAAGGACATATCAATTTAACTGTATGAAATGGGGTTTCACCTAATCCCTGTTAGCATCTTATGAGACAAAGGTATTAAAACTTAGATAGACATCATTCCACTTACTCTTTCGATGAATGTACATTTAAAGTAAACCATCTATCCTACATTATACGGTGATGTCGAGGAAGGTGAACGTTCTGTCACTTTTGTGCTCCATCTTAAATTCAATTTTTTTTATGAGCGTTGATTGAAAAGTTTTGATAAACAGAGTACATGCAATAAACAATTACAAACAATAAAAGTATCATCGACGCACATGTTGTAAACTGTCGCTTCACCGAATTCATTGATAAGTTTTATGTTCTCTTGGTTAGTTACAAAGATACTCGCTAATATGGGATCACCTAGTGTAACATAGAAATACTTTTGTGCTTAACTAATTACATGAGAATAAAATTATCATTACCAATTTTAGCATTATTACCATTTACATAATTATTTTGGACCAAATTCCATCAGAACACGAGTAATATATGATTCAAGCAATTTAATTGATACACTTCCTTAATGAAGACGATTTCTAAACTATTTTATATCAACGATTGAATGTCATAAACGTCTTACTGGCGTCCGTGTACATCTTTTTTTCCTTGAACCTAAGGAGGAATTGATTAAA